TCAATCATCAGATTCCCATCGTGTCTGAGATGGACACTTTGGAAGTCGCCATTTTTTGTTTGTTTGTTTGTTTGTTTGAGATAGAGTTTCGCCCTTTCGCCCAGGCTGGAGTGCAGTGACCAGATCTTGGCTCACTGCAACCTCTGCCTTCTGGTTTCAAGTGATTCTCCTGCCTCAGCCTCCTGCGTAGCTGGGACTACAGGTGTGCACCACCACACCCAGCTAGTTTTTGTATTTTTAGTAGAGACAGGGTTTCACTATGTTGGCCAGTCTGGTCTTGAACTCCTGATCTCCTGATCCACCCGCCTCAGCCTCACAAAGTTCTGGGATTACAGGAATGAGCCACCATGTCGGGCCTAGAAACCATTTTAAGGAAAATGTTTTCTGGAAGGAGTTATGTATCCAAATTACCAACCAATTATCAATTTGACTCAAGTTAGTTTCAGAGACTAGACTCTTGAATGAATGAGCTAAAGGAATACCTCATCGCAACCCTCAGCCCCTCTCCATCCCATTATCCCCCTTTATTATCTTCTTACCACTAATTACATTCTAAAATAGTCTCTCTTTCTCCCTCCCTGCCTCCTCCCCTCCTTTCTTCCCTCCCTTCCGCCTTCCTTCCCTGCCTCTCCTGCCTTCTCTCTTCCCTCCCTCCTCCCTTTCCCTTCCCCTTTCCATTCCCCTCCCCTCCCTTCCTCTCCCTTCTTCTCCTTTCTCTTCCCCTCATCTCCCCCTTCCCTCCCCTTCCAATCCTGTCCCTCCCTTCCCCACCCCTTCCGTCTCCCCTCTCCTCTCCCATCTCTCCTCTCCTCTCTTCTTTCCTTTCCTTTTCTTTCCCTCCCGTTTCTTCCTCCTACCCTCCTTCCTTTCCTCTCCTCTCCTCTCCCCACTCCCCTCCCCTCCTATCTCCACTCCCTCCCCCTCCCTTCCCTTTCCTCTTCTCCTCCCCTCCTTCCTCCTGCCCCTTCCTTCTTTTTGGAGGTACTCCCCCTCTTTCTCATGACATATAAACTCCAGGGCAGGGCCTTCCTTGTCTTGTTCACAGCTGTATCCGCAGCACCTAGAACAGTCTCTGGCACATGACAGGTGTTCTATAAATGTGTGCTGAGGGAATTAATGGAAGAAATTTGAGTGTGGCACCTCCCCGGGAGGCTTTCCACAGTAACATTGAAAAAGGAGCAGGAGGGGAGAGAATGAGGCCGAAATGAGGCTCCTCCAGTTGAGCCTGGAGTTGCTTCCACTTCTTGGAAATTTCCCAAATGCTAATACTCCCCAAACATTCAGAGGGTACTGAGGAGTCCAAAAAGAGAAGGTTTCAGATGAGAAGTCCTGCTGGTGTTCGGCTTCCTCACTTTCAACAGCGATGCTCCAGCACCTCCGTGTGTGAGACACTGCGGTTGGAAGGGGTGGGGGGCCAGGACTGCAAGGTAGAGGACAGAGGGGAGTCCCCCTCTGGGTGCAGCCCAGGCTTGCCTGCTCTCAGCACTGAAGAAGGCTCTCACTCTTGCCCTCTGGCAGAGCGAAGGGAAAATCACAGCACTTGAATGTGTCAGGTTGGGGCTTCTTGATGGAAGACTATGCTAACTGTGTAAGAGAATAACTTGACATTTTCTCTTCTTATTGAAAACATCACCTTTTAGGTGACACGGCATCTTGAGGATGTGTTCTCCAAAAGAAATAGTTCCAACGAGATGGTTGTTTCCATGGCTCTAGGACTACACCCATGGATCGCAAATATTAACAACACCCACTATATCGCGGCAAAAAGAGCCATCAGAACAGGTGGGACCTTGAGATCTTCTGACTGGCCAGTCTGCAGTGGGCTTCAGGGGTGGTACCCATGGGACTGCGGGTAAAGCAGACACTTTTAAAACTCAGAAATCGACTCTCCTTTAATATCAAACAATTGTTGAATGCATGGCATGCGCAGGGCACGCTATACACACCATCTCAAGTAATCCTCCCAATGGTCTTCCCCATCTGACAGAGGAATAAATGAAGGCTTACAGACACCAAGCATTTCGACAAAAGGCACCCAGCTCACAAGTGTTAAAGCCTATGTTCAAATTTAAGTCTGGAGACCTGAATTTTGGGGAAAATGATGGACTAGAAAACCTTCAACCCCCCCCAATACAAAACTCATAGAAATGTTGCTAACATGTAAAAATGTCCTTTCAAAACACAGATTAGGCCAGGTGTGTGATGGCTCAAACTTATAATCCCAGCAGTTTGGGAGGCAGAGGTGGGAGGATCACTTGAGTTCAGGAGGTGGAGAACAGCCTGGACAATATGGTGGATCCCCCCATCTCTATAAAATATATAAAAATTAGCTGGGTGTGGTAGCACATGCCTGTAGTCCCAGCTACCCAGGAGGCTGAGGCAGGAGGATTGCTTGAGCCCAGGAGGTTGAGGCTGCAGCGAGTTGTGATCATGCTACTGCACTCCAGCCTAGGGGACAGAGTGAAAAATGAAAAATGGAAAAACACAGCTTAGCTTGTGTGGCATCAGAGGAAACCCTTTAGGGTTAAAAATGAAGGAGAACCTAAACTCTAGGGGAGTGAATAAGCAGACCCTGGGCTGGCCTGCAGGGATCTGCTCTTCCTGGTCACAGAGAGGCTGGGGCTTTCATGGCCTTGGGCCAGAGTGAGGCAGGAAGTTGAAAACGAGACCCACTATATACAGGCAGGGCATCCCCCAACGAGACCCACTATATACAGCCACGCCCATCCTATGTGTGTGTGTGTGTAAGCGCAACTGTCTTTGCTTGCATGTTGGATGGGCACAAGGTCTCCCCTGAGAATTTTTAATCACGGACCCTTGCCCCCGTGGGTCTGGGTCTTTAATGTTTACCTAGTGTGTGGTCCCGGCCTCCCCAGTGCCGTGGCTGGACGCAAGCACAGCACTGCCCTGGAGGACACAGACCCCAGGCAGGCCAAGGAGATTCTGCAGGAGCTTCCTGGAGATGAGCTTGCTGGATAAAATTACAAAACACACATGAAACTCCATTCCAGTGTGTCTGACCCTAAAGCCAGTGGTCTCTTCACAACGCCACAACACTTTTCTGGAAGGCAGTGCAGCTCTATTTGGAACTTGTTTGGTGGTTCCTGCTTTAAGTCCAGGCACTTCACTGTCCTGGGTACAGCCATGTGTTGGGCTGAGCAGAGGGTGTGTACTTGGGTGCTGGCTGTGGCATCAGGGAGCAGGAACACCCAGTCTCCTTGACTTCTGCACCAGGAGGGGTACCATGCCAACAACAGCAGGATTGGGGTTCTCCCCAAAGCAGGAGGTTCTGGGTCTCTCCAAAAGCCAGGTGGAAAAGCAGTGGCGCGTGTTTAGATAGACCTATGGCATCCTATTACAGATGCGGCCTGAGGCCACATTGGCTAATGGTGGCAAAGCCGGAATGGGAAGCCCAGATCTCCTTGAAGCACTAACTCCCTCTCTCGGGGTTATCAGTACAAGGGAAACAGACACGGAAAACCAGAGAACAATCCAAGACATGGAGCCATGCCTCTTTACATCAGCATTCCTGCTGCCCCCAATATAGCAGGTATTTTGCCAGTAAACTTTAGGATTGAAGAAATGTGATGGCAGCTGAAGAGAGGTGTGTGTTTGAAATATCAAGGTTGACAATTATAGACGGGTCTGAAATAGCCTTTCAGGAATGCAAAAGGCGCCTTCCGGTCTATTTGTGTGCTCAACTGGTTCTGCTAACAAGATACATTGCTTTGATTCATATCCACATCTTGCTCTGTGAATACAGAAGAGGCGGCATGTTCTCTTAGGTTTCTTGGTTTCATTCTGCATCCCTGCTCCCTCACTGGCAGCATGTCCTCTAAGCTAGAAGTTCATCTCTTTCTAAAACCTGGGATAGCAGTTAAAACTATTTTATGTGATGCTTTGAAAATTGCCAGAAACATTCTGACATTTGAGTGATAGTACAGCTACTGGCATATCTGTCACCAAAAAGTCCCACTTCCATAGTATTTAATTCATGAAGAAACAAGAAAGATAGGAACATTGCCTTGTGTCATGCCAAAAATGCATGACCACTTCCAATCACAAGATAACATCAGACAAACCCAGAATGAGGATATTTTACAAAACCTCTAATTGATAAGCTTCAAGCTGGTCAAGGTCATGAAAGACAAGGAAATACTCAGAAACGTCCACAACATACAAGAAACTAAGAAGCAATAATAAAAATGCAGTTTGGATTCTGGATCAGATCCTGGAGTGGAAAAAGGGAAAGATTGGTGAAATTTAAAGTCCGGAGAGTATTTAGCAGCATTGCACCGTTGTCAGTTTCCTTGCTTTGATCACTTTGTGTTAGTTACATAAGGTTAGGGAAAGCAGAGTAAGAGATAGATGGGAGCTCTCTCTGTATTATTTCTGTAACTTTTCTAAATTCTAAACTTTTCTAAAATTAGTTTAAAATAAAACTTTTATTTGCAATATTATTTATTTATTTATTTTGAGACAGAGTCTTGCTCCATCACCCAAGCCGGAGTTCAGTGGCAAGATCTCAGCTCACTGCAACCTCCACCTCCCACATTCAAGCGATTCTCCTGCCTTGGCCTCCCAAGTAGCTGCGATTACAGGCATGCGCCACCATGCCTGGCTAATTTTTTTTTTTTTTT